AGCCCAGTTCCTCGATTTACATTACCTGTAGTGTTTGTAAGCATTATATCATCAGTGGTATTTATGATTAGTAATAATATCTCCTATTTTTCATTCATAGGTTATCATAATTAGCAAATAAAAGGGTGTATTCCTGTAACATGGTTCATAATTCTTGTTTTATTAGGCCACGGAAATTTTTTAGTTTAGAAAAGTTTTATGAACGTAATCACCCCATTGAGTGACACAATATAGCAAGTACAAAGTACGCTGGTACAGAATTGTTGGTGACGTACCGCAGTTATGGAGATATATGATGTGAATATAGATATCCTAAAACTTTTACGTATAATTATTGGAATTATTATTTTAAAAATTGCATTATTAAAACTATTGTAGATAAAAATTATCATTTTCGGAACCATTCTTACTATTATTATGATAGTAAAGATCTGGTATTATTGTTGTATAAAATATTAATAGTTATTATCAGAATTAATATTATATTAAAATTATATTATCACTAGAGTTTCACACTATAATGAAATTTTCATGAATGATTCGTAGGAAAGCGATTCAGGAGGGGCGGTGCTCAATGATAGGAAACTGGGGCTGAAGCTCCAAAGGAGATACAGGAATTGGAGCCCTTAAAGCTCTGAGGGGTTTGAGATACTTCAGAAAATGTGAAACGCGACAGACACGAAAATACAGTAGGTTGGGGAACCACAGATGATAACACAGTGATGTAGCGTGGGTGAGAGCCCAACTAGCTGGTACCATGGCTGGACTATCGGTATCATAATGAGAGTGGTACCAGTTATGTGATAAAAGAACATCTCTCGGGTAATAGAGACTATTATATACAAATGCTTATAAAATGACACTACTACTAAACTGGAAACAATAGTATATTAATAATAAGTCTTAATTGGCTAGTCTTTTCCTGTGAAATTATAGCTTTTTTTTCATACAAGTCTAGCCATGCAACCCACAAAACATTTGCGGTAGATTTCATGCTCCTCGCTTGAATTTTCCTTATTCTATCGTTTTCATGCATGGCATTTACACTACGCTTTCTTGCAGGCGTTATGTGTTAAATCGATAAATCCTGATCTATTTGAACATATTTTACGCAGTGAGACAAACAAACTCATGCAGACGTAATTTTATTGACTAAACCTACACGTAACTTATAAGATAAAATATAGTAATGGTATATATATAATAGTGTACAGAGTACGAAACCGTTATGAGAGTTCAGTGTGTGACAAGATTTTAACGGTTGAAACCAAGAAAATCATAAAATCGAAGAATAAAACCCGTAGAAAAAAGAGGATTAGCTAAAAGGTGTTTATAACAGTCTATGAACGAACCGGAGCTAAATTATTGCAAAATAAAATTAATGTAAAGTTGTAATGAAGGCAAACTTAGTTGACATGCTGAAACGTCTGAACGCGTGTTCACAAAGTGAAAAGCATATCGTTTTCAACGAATTTCGCATGCGTGTTTTAGTCATAAATAAGTTGAAGAAACCCATAGAAATTGTCTTAAATGTAATATTCATCTTTTCTTAGGAAATTACACGCAAGTTAAGTGTCGTTTGTTTGAAATACTTTGCAAATAAAAAAAAACTAAAGTTAAAATCGAAGCCAGTCGTTACGTGATGGTAACGATATTGTGCCATCGCGTACCATACTCGTTGCATTAAAAAATCTGACTAAGCAAAAAACAAGTAAGGTGATTCTGAATGGAAAAGCCAATATGTAATCCTCACTCCTCAGACAAATGCCTTTATAACTACATGCAAGTTGTAGCGTTTCATCCAGAAACTTGCGAGAAGAGTTCTAGAAAGACAACTGCAAGCGTATTATTTATATATAGATTAAAAGTTGTTCGTCAACACACCTCACCTAATATAAAGAAAAACGCATATTAAATAGCTGTGAAAGTATACACTACATGTCTATAGTTACTATTTCATGTTATTACTCAACTTTTATTTTAAATTAAAACTTGATAGTTTTAGTACTGTTAAGCAAAAACATGGGAATAATCTTGGCCAATGGGAGTTAGAAAAGAAAGTGATTTTTTTCTTAGTATGTATAGGGGTAGGGCTACCAAACATTTTTTTTTACCCTCAGGAATATTTCAGACACGTTTCAGAAGCATGTAATGTTAATAATGTTTACGCAGACTCAAATTATTTTAAAATATTTTATATAGTATTTAGTTTGCTCCGATGAAACCGTAATGGCGAAACGTTGGCTCAAATAAAACCCACTGTTTTGTACAGTAATGGGTTGTGTTTTATTTGTTTTTAACATTTGTTGCTACTTCACAGACATTCCAGGAAAACGTGGATTTTATTATTTAAACTCTCCTTCGACAAACAGAAAAACAGTCCTTGTTTGTGTGTGTGAGGGGTGGAGGAGGTTACAACATTTTAAATCCCAAGTGCTCCTGGTTCATAAATACTTAAAACTAAACATTTTTTGTAAATACTGTGATTGGGCGTGAAATAATTTGCCGGACTAATAGAGAGACAACCAGATGTGAAATTCTCAGTTTCACTAATTTCTCTTAAGAGCAATCAGGGAACGTGGGAGCGATCCCTATTGTAGGGATGAGTCCTGTTGAAATTGACGGCCTATATTTTTTGAACACGGTAGCTCGCACGCTAGGACATCGACAAAACCTAGCCAAAGGGACAGCAGAAAGACATTCACTAATTAAGTGTAAAACTGCTTTTAAAGTTCGTCTAATCATCTTTGATGTTTAGAAATCGGTCTGCAAAAAAACATCGATTTTCATTTTTTCTTCCTTTCCGTCAGCTGTAACTTATAAACCACAATGTGCCTACTTCCAGCCTTCACACCAAAACACTTCACAGTACCTAGGATCTGTCTTTCAAACCTAGAACCACAAGTGATCCATGATAGATTAAGTTTCAGCCCGAAATATATGCAATGATACAGATTGTTTAATATTGTCCAATACGCATATCAATCGATAGATGGCGTAACCTGTAATACTAATCTTATGAGATTCGACGTGTTTTGAAACATGCAAGTTGTATGTTTGTATCAAGCATTTACCGTTAAGATATTTCTGCTCGTGTAGTTTTATTTCATCGATGTCTTTATAGTTCAATTTGAAAAAAATACGGATACCAAACACGAGAAGGTCGTTTTGCTGAATATGTCAGCACACTTTTCTGTTTGTGTCTGAATAAAAATTACATAATAGATTTCACACTATTGTAAGCGTTTTTACAAACACCCGTCACTTAAGACGTAATGTCTACCATCAACTGTTAGAAAAACAAAATATATGATATTGACCTTCGCGTGTTAGAAGAACAAACATGAATCACTTCAGATCTTATGTTTACTACGTATATAAAAATATGTTGCTTGTTTAACTACTACTGTCAATCTTTCTGGGCCTAATAAAATCCTCGAGTTTCGAAGTATGTTGCTCGTGCTCACAATCAGAGTACAGAAAGATATGAAACCATTTTTGATGCTAGGACAGAAATATTATAATTAAATGGGAAATACACAAGAAAACTTGGAATGAATTAATAAAATGCAGAAAACTTTTAATTTGATAAAAAACGTTTAGACTATCGCAATATTAAACCCCATTGTCATTTTTATTAAGACAGACGGTATCAAATGTATAATACTTCATGTAATTAAATATTCATCGGGGAGCGCAGCAGCGATCCCTATGTGGGGATGGATTAATTACAACCCAGAGTACTAACCAGGTCTACGATCAGTAAGCCATACAACCCAAAGTATTAACCAGGTCTACAATCAGTAAGCCATAAAACCCAAAGTATTAACCACGGTCTACGATAAGTAAGCCATACAACCCAAAGTACTAACTACTGTTTACGATAAGTAAGCCATAAAACCCAAAGTATTAACCACGGTCTACGATAAGTAAGCCATACAACCCAAAGTACTAACTACTGTTTACGATAAGTAAGCCATAAAACCCAAAGTATTAACCACGGTCTACGATAAGTAAGCCATACAACTCAAAGTACTAACCAGGTCTACAATCAATAAACCATACAACCCAAAGTACTAACCACGGTCTACGATCAGTAAGCCATACAACCCAAAGTATTAACCATGGTCTACAATCAGTAAACCATACAACCCAAAGTATTAACCACGGTCTACGATAAGGAAGCCATTACGCGCGTTATTTGGAAGCAGATAATCTATCATTTATTCCTTACCGCGTCGCTCAGTATCCTGGTGCTGACTTATCTTGCTTCAAGAAGTAGCATCTACAGAATAAAACTGAACAAGTTGATGAAATGGTGCCTTTCACCTAGAAGTTATAGCCCCACCTGAAGCCAAGACTTCGACTCGTAAAAAGTGCAGAAACTAGTGAGAAAAAATTAATTTTATAATTGATGGGATGAAGGGATGGAAAAAGATTATTAACCAGAGAGCATTTGTGATGGAAGGTAAATTTGCAGTACTCAGTCACGAATTCAAAGATTGAAAGTATATATACGTTAGGTGGCCAGTACTCATACAGTGCACTCACAGAGTGAATACATTTATACATTAAGCGGCAGAATGCAGGATTGAGTTATGCAGAATTTCCTTCCATCCCAAATGCTCTTTAGTTTCTGATCTTTTTCCATCCCTAGGTCCTATCAATTTTAGATTTTTTTTTTTTACTAGTTGGATATAGGACCTGCAAAATAACAGGAGACTCCCCATAAAATGTTTTGGGTAGCAAAAATCTGATTTATCTGGCTTCAAGTCAGTTCGAAGAAAAGAAAGAGACTGGACACAGTGTTCACTAAAAGGAGGTTTTAAATGTAGAATAACCGATGGTCCCTCCTTTGGATTTTTAAATACATTTTTCTAAATTAATTAGCCATCAATTTGATTGAAATTGTTTAATGAATAAAAAAAAGTTAAAGGGGCTGTACTGTGCTACAATTGTAAAAACAAGCATTAAATAACTGTTATAACAACAAAAAATCATCTTGTTAATTAAAAGAAATATTTATTTGGATAAAAAATATAACTCCATCTACATCACTTTATTAGAGTGCATGATGTAAAACTCTGGAAATGTTCACAACCTTAAGCATACTATCTGCATCAAAAGTAGAGATAAGATTACAATGTACAACAGAAAAAGGTTATACTGATTAATGAGCTGAAATTGAAGTGAAGCACTGGTTTTAATACAAAATGTAAATAAAATTCACAACCTACAATTAAGCAGCTCTGGAATACAAAAATCCCAATCAATACAAACTAATTTTGTATTCATAATTTTCTGATTAATTACAGTGTACAAAAACATGTAGAAATTCAGCTAGTACAGATGCTGATATTTTTAAACTGATTCGTACTTCTGTTTAGCTTAATAATTTAAAGTTTATATCTACAATAAACTATTGAGCAGTCAACTAACAAAATATACATATTCCTCAAATTTATATTATATTTTCATCAAGAATTTCAAAGACTAAAGCTTTGTGGAAAAATATAAATGACTCCTCAGAACATTAACCTGGTGGCCATTCCATTTCTCGCCCACCCAACACATCGATGTGAAAGTGATAAACAGACTGGCAGCCTTGCTCTCCATTGTTGATGACTGTTTGAAACAAAAAATTATCAATTACAAGTACATGATTTTTATCATTTACTCTACACCCAAAACATGAATCCAAATAGTGTTTATATGTAACTTTCTGATGTTCACTCTCCTTCTGCTCTACAAGTTTATTCATTCAGAAATGTGTACCACAAAATCATACACATTTCTGAATGGGTAAGTTTGTAGAGCAGAAGGAAAGTCAACATCAGAAAGTTATGTATAAACATTATTTGGATTCATGTTTTGTAGTAGTAGCTTTTATACTACAAATATGTATTCTAGTCTTTATATGTAATATTAACAGGAAGAAGAATTAACCATGTTAAAAGTCATCTGATAATCCAGGTAAAGCAAACACTATGGTTATTCATATTATTACTATTCTTTTACACAAAAATAAGGTGCATAGGCAGGTATAGTAGTGCATGCCATTTTGTTGAAGACTAAAGTTAATACAACACACTCATACACCACTAAGCAGGAAAATAAAAATGTCTACAGAGGTGTGATGTACGAATGTTAATCATAATTACAGTTTTACTGAAGATGTGACAAGAACATGTTTATACTTTCATCCGTATACTGAACAATAATAGTATTATACAGATGTAAAACCCTTAATTCAAAGTTTATTATACACCCTTTATCTTATGTGTTAATTTTTTGTAAAAACAAGATATTTATTGAATTAATCATTACAAAATACATATATCAGATTGTTTTTTCAGCAGGAAGCAACTTTCACTTTTTCTCCACTAATATTTATTAGAAGTGCTTTTCTTACATAAAAAAATACACCTCCAGCATTTGTTAGTTTGATATTTAAATATATTCAAGCAAATAAAAAATAAGACAATAATAAGGCTTGCTTAATACTTTTTTCAAGTAATCTAAGTACAGATCTGTAGCAAGAGCACGAACTGTTGGAATGATGCAAATTTAGCCAAACCACATGTCTTCTTGCCTGTTCTTGAAGTATTCTATATCACAATATACAAAGGTTGGTAGCCATCTACTCTACATGCATAATCTTAACTTAAAGAACCCACAAAAACCACTGTTAAGTTCATTTCTCTCAGTGTGTTATTCTGAAGGTAATATGTCTATACATTTTTTTAGAAAGAAAAAAAATTAAGAATTCTTTACAAAACATATTTTTTATAAACCACACATAAAGTCTTACATGTTATATGTCTTTATGTCATATGTTATAACAGGACTTTTTAGTTAAATGTTCTAAACTTACCTAGTCGATATCCACTAGTAAGATTTTCCTGAGCTGCTACTTTTTTTGCAGTTATTAAAAGGTGACCAAGAAGCTGAAAAAAAATTAAAGTTTATACATTAGTTAAAATTAAGCTATCATGTAGCCCTAACAGAAATAAAAGAAATATTTTTATTATCTAACATTTTTTACACTCAACAATAAAAATATTTATACAACATATCTATTAAAGGAATAAAAGAACAATTATATTTTTCTTTAATTCAACTGGATTCATACAGTTTTTGCCTTGTGTATTCAAATTTAGAACCATAATTTCAAGACAAACCAGACACTGTTAGTAAAAACATCTTGCAACTGTGTGTAATGTACAGTTTTGATCATATAACCAGTGATTCTTTTAAATACTTTTTTTCTCAAATTTTTAAATACAAAAACATGCTTAAAAAACTGCTCTGCACATAGAATGCAAAGTTATATTTCAAACCTGAAAACCAAATGTAAACATTTAAAAATAATTTCTTCAGAAAATCTGAGATTTAATTATTTACTGTCATGTTTAGACATATAATTCTTTACCACTTTAAATACAAAAAATTATGTCTATATAAACTTTGATAATTATCCTTAAAAATATGGTTCATCACACCAAAACTAATTATTGCGTACTCTACATCTAACAAGTTATGCATCTACATATGTAAACTTGCATGAATTTGTTCACAAACTATTGAAACATTGAAATTATCAATAGTATACCAATATAACTCCCATACATTGATTTTAATTGCTTTAATAAGGTAAAGTTTTATGTTGCTATGTTTGTCCTCCTTGCTTCATTAATTTCACTGACCAAATTATACAAATATACAAAAGACTGAAACTCAAAAGAAATAACAAATGTACAAAATTCTCATATAGAATTATAAGTCTATGAAACTGATAACTTACAATTGAACTATTGTAGTCAGAATGAAACATTTGTTCAGCTTGAAACTATATTACCTTTATACTCAATATATATATAAGCTTTTCCACAGTTATTGATGTTTTCATTTAGTCAATAGTAAAAAAAGAAAAATATTCTTACTGCAACAACATGTAAATAGGTGCCCATCTTTTCTCGCAAGTTTTGACTAAATAGGTCACAAGAAATTTATTTTACACATTGTAAATCACTTTTGTTGCCATTTTAGGGAATTGTTCTTTGTACGCTTGCATAACTGCAGGGAAGTATCTAAATAGCTAGTTGACTCCAATCTCAATGAGGGTGAGAGCCTAAACAACTGGATAGTACATTTCCCTTTCTACGAAGACCCAGAATCAAATCACAATTCCTGCCACCACATACCATCCTTCTCAGAACTTCCCTGAAAGTGGCAACAGATTTGCAGACACAACATAGGATATAAAGTAATTATTATTTAGTGATGAACCAATAAAAATTACTAACTGACCAGCAATTACACTTATATGAATGTGAGGGCTACTAACCATGACAACAAGCGATATCCAACTGTCAAACTTTACTATCAGTACCTGATTTAATTCAACTCTACTTCCTTCACTGACATTATCTCTGATAATGTGAAGAATTCAGAAAGTGATCGAAGTAGATACGTAAGATAATACTTTGGTCAAGCTACTGCAGAAACCTAGTTACTTTATTTTCAAAGACAATTATAAATCTGCAGTCAAACACGTCTACAACGGTTAATGATGTAAGATATCCACTTATGTCCCGAGAAAAAAAAAACGAAGCAATAATCATGGTATTTACACTATGTGTACAAAAGTGACAGTCACAAACAAAAAAATTTAATTATGGGTCTCCAACTGATGTAATATCACTTAAATGCATGATAAGTGTTCTTAATATATACCTACAATGTGAGCACATACACGTTTAACAAAAATATACACATATACCAAGCAACAAATTTTGGTAAAAAATACTTTTTGTTTCAACCCATATGCCAAGGTTTAGACAATTTTGGAACATACAACCTTTTATCCAAGCTACCAGGCTATTTCTTTTTCAGCTTAAGTAGCTCTAAATTTTGTTCAACTACCATTTTCTTAATGAACAATTTAAAACAGTATGACTACTCAAACAATAGAATGATAATAGAAAAACATATGTATTTATACATGAATACAGCTGAGAAACTAGTGGAATCTGCTAATCAATTAATTGCCAGATTCATTAAACAAATACATTTAACATATCATCTCCAAATGATAGGGTCAACACAATCTACCAGCATTTGTAGAGTCAACATTGTCTCACATTCTGTACAGCATATTGACACAATTCATATTGTTACGCCACCATTCGTTAGTTAATTTTCCGTAAAAATTCTTTCCGAAGAAACTTTACCGATACA